ATTTATTTTTTATTTATCATTCATAATACCTTAATTTATTCGTTATTTTTGTTCCCAGACCTACATCATCCATTATGCAATTGCATTTTAAAGTACTTGTTTTGCCCAGTTACATATTTATCTGTTTATACATCTACTTACTTCCCGGCGTTTGTGTGTAGCGGTTATAGACACTTCGCTGTGCACGCAGGAGACCCCACTTCGATTTCCAAGTGGGTGGAAAACTGTTATCGAGCATCTCAGACTTTGTGATAGAACGTTGTATCCCTCTTATCCGGGTTGACAAGCGGGGTCGAAAGCCCGCCTTCTGAATGATCTAAATTATGTCGATGGGGGTGTAAAACTTCAATTTTAAAAAAGAAATTCCAAATTGATCCTTTAACCTCTAGAACATACCCTGACTTTTTAAAGCAGAAACCTGTTATATATCTGTGTTTGTTGTGTAGTAAGCAGGGTCTTTGCTTTAACACGAAGAAGACATCAGTTCAGTTCTCGTTTGTGGAAGTCTATTTCATCGAGTATCTCGGTCTTTCTGCTGGGATAGGCCTACTGTGTACCATTCATCTCGGGTTGGCCCTGACAGATAGAGTCGTTTAAGTGGTTTGGGAATTGACTCAATACATGACACGCATTTAATTGCATTTTTTATGCTAGAATCAGAAGTCAGGACTTGGCCTGTATTAACACTCCTTTGAGCGTCCCTCCGTTAGCCAAGTTGGTATCGTGCTGAGCTACGGGAGCCGATTGCCCTGGTTCGAATTCCATACGTGACGTTCTTGAGCTCTTGCTGTAGAGTTTTCAAGGCTCCCAGCCCATTTGCTCGATCCCATCTGAGAGGAAGGTTAAATTTGGAGGTCCTGTCTCTTAAATAACTTAATAGAATGGATAGGTGTGTTAAAACCATGCATTTACTTACTTTAAAAAAAAATCTTTTGAGCATGAATGTTTCAACCCTTTCTTATTCATGAGAAGTGGATTGCTGGCGATGCTCTGGTGTGGTTTACTCCGTCGTCCCTATCCCTCCTCCTTCTTTTTTTGTGTTCGTTACTCTTTCGTAACATCTCTAATCTTCGGCACTTATATGGCCTAGTTGTGTTGCATGTGTCGAAAAACACTTACTAAAACAAACATTGTATGCAATAAAGATAAGAAGTGAATTATCGGTGCTTCGCGGAGAAAAGTCAGAGTACCTGCGACTTTTATTTAGCTCCCCCATTTCCTGAAGAGAAAACTAAATTGCTTGATCTCTAAACATAGTACATACTGGATGGCTCATGATCATGATGGAAGACAGCCATGGTAGAAGGGGAGATAATTCTGTTGACCTTTCCGATAAACATCAAACTCAAGGGAGATTAGTCATCCAGTGGACACATTTCCCATATGCCGCGATCAAAACGAAAACTTATAGCGGGAGAGAGAGAGAGAGAGAGAGAGAGAGAGAGAGAGAGAGAGAGAGAGAGAGAGAGAGAGAGAGAGAGAGAGAGAGAAGGGGGAGGGGGGTCTGGAAAACCGTTGAAAAGCGTTGGAGAAATGATATTACCACGGTACAGTGTAAACTACTAAATATTTTACACCCCTGTCCCCACAATTTAGGTCATCTAAGGGGACTTGCAGTACAGTATCGATCTCATCTGCTGGGACTTTTCCTGGCTGGGTGGGGTACATCCCAGCAAAAAGACCGAAAAACACAAAAAGATCACAGGGATCTTAAGTCTTAAGTCCTTTCCTTCAAGTAAAAGAGCAACCTAACCACAATACTCCAAGTGCCTGGTAAAATTGCATGGACATATCGCCAGCTTCAAAAATGTATATATGGGTCTTTGGAATCACGAACAAAACTGCAAATTTAATTAAACTCTTCGTTAGCTCAGTAGGTATCATGCTAGACTACGAAGTGGATGGCCGGCCACAGTTCGAATCCCTGACTTGGCTTGGCGTTCTTGAACTTCGGTCGTTTTGAGGAATTTTCAAGGATCTCAATCCATTTGGCTTTGTCGTGTTGGACGGACTATAGATTCGGCAATCCCAACTCTTAAGTAATTTCCTAGGGTTAATAGGGGCATTAAACCCATACACGCACTTACTTTTAAGTAGCGAAATTAATTACAGTAATACACCTTTCTGGAGATATTATCAAATTGTCTCTTACTAAGCATTGCGTTCAATGGCACAAAGGCGTCGGTAGCCTTATAGTAAGGCTACCGGATTCGTAATCGTAAGACTATGGGTTCGGGGATTTGACACTCAACTAGGTCCGATGCTGTGTCCTCGGGAAAGGCACTTTACACGGATTTCCCATTTGGCTGGATCCTTTCGGAGATGGAAGTTTTAAACTCAGAGGTACGAACTGACCTAACAGTGTTGATTGGTGTGTTAATACGATACCATTTCACCATTTTCATCACTTCTTGAACCCCTCCGACCTCATCCCCTCCCCCAAACTAACCCAATGTGAACCATTTCTCCATGTGTTTCTATAAAAAGGGATAAATTGTACTATATTCCCTAACTTTAACACGCACCGATTTCGCACAGAATGAAGCACTACATAGATTACGGTAACCAAAAGTAGGACAGACTCTATGTATGCAATTTCTGACCGTTGTCTCAAATACACATATATTTCCAGACACCAGCTGCGCTTTTCACATGACGAATGAGAAAAGGTTGGGAAATTATACGACTTCGAGATAATGGAGAATTAGGCATTGTCAGAGTTGTGAGTGGTGTGGCTAATAATGTGTGAGATGTTCGTTCCACATTATTTCTGGTGTTTGTTGTCGCTGTTGCTGTTGTTGTTGTTGTTGTTGTTGTTGTTTAATTGGGCAAAGCTATACTTTGTTTCGTTTTTGTTTTTGTTGTTGTGG